TAGAAAATTCTACCGATAGACCAAATTGGCAGGGCATGTATTTGTAATACCCCTTCGATGATAAATAAGAGATTTCTTCAATACTAGTGTTGCTGGGTCAGTAATACTAAACTAATGTCTTGATGTAAGAGGCAAGGTAAAAAAAAAAAAGATAAACCCTTGAGATAGGGGCCTTGATGTTGAGGTATGGCCTTGAGATAGGCTGGGTCTGGAAGAGGACTCGCGTCCATACTTACATGGATCCCTACCAAATTTTCATTCGGATAGGGGCAAAAAGATACCAAAGTAAAAAATGATTACCGTCTTGCATGAGCCACCCGTTGCGGATTGAAGGGTCTAGGGAAGACTAGAATTCACTTCAAACGCATAACATATGGACATGTAAGATTGGATGAGGGCTAGTTCTCACCGGCATACCCCCACGTGGGAAGATTGGGTTGGCTAGGTCAACCTAATGATTAGAGAATGGCACATTAAAAAACTTAAAACCTGGAAAAGGGGCCCTGGAAGAAGCGTGTTTCCTGGAAGAGGGCTGAACCTTGGAGAGGGTTCGCAATCATAGGACATGGTCAAAATCTCCGAAGAAAGTTCGGGTCTTGATGTTGAGACTTGATGATTCCAAAACCGTTTCGGATTATTTGTTCGAAATTTGAGCAAGGTTGCTGTTAGGCATGACACCCAGGCCAGAGGGGGAAAAGAAGGTGGCATGGTCAAAAGTGACCGGTCACTTTTTGATGTTCTGGATTGACAAGAAAATGCGAATGGGAAAAAATTAATATTTGACCGGTCAACTTTGAGAAAAGTGACCGGTCACTTTTTAGTTGGCGGATTTGATGAAATCAGACAAAACTGGAAAGAATATTTTTTGACCGGTCATATTTTTGACCCGGCACCTGGACAGGAAATTTGACGTCATGCTGGTTACATATTGCAACCAAGCCATTAAAACCTGGAAGTTGACTGGGTAAGAAAACAGGCGAGGAAGAAACCGACCTAGACGTTTTCAAGTCAAGAAACCAGGACATGAGATGACCTGGAAGTTTTCAAGCCTTGCGTCTAAAGTGGTCTTCAAAACTTCCAACATAGCCTACTACACCAGGACATGAGATGACCTGGACGTTTGTTGCAGTTCAACCTAGACACAAGCCGGTCCAGAAGACTAATCAGGCCACAAGATCTGGACATTTTCAAGGTTGCAAGACCTAGATGTTTTCAAGGCTTGTACTTGACCAGGACATAACATGACCTGGACATTTTCAAGAGATGGAATTGACCTGGACGCTGTCAACAAAGCCTACCAGACCTAGACGTTTCTAAGGCGTTAACCAAAGACCAGGACATGAGGTGACCTGGACAACTACAAAGGATAAAGCCGGTTACTTCTTTTGACTTGGAATCAAGCATATTCAA